AAATGTGTATGGAAAGGAAAAAGTATTAACAGCAGTAAAGGCTTCATCAAGCATTTTAGGTCCACATTCAAATGAAATTTTAAAATGAAATAACTACAAAACACCTTCAGCAAAATAATAAAACATAATAGCAGTAACAGGTGAGAGTCAGATGGTTAGACCGCAAGAGGGGAAAGGAGGGAGGGAAAAACGATGAAACAACGGGGAAAAGCGAGGGAGGGCGGGAGAGAGAGAGAAGGATAGAAGGGGAGGAAAAGCAGAGGTCAGAAAGTAGGAAAGGTCCCTAAAACCAATACCAGCTAAGTCAAAATTAACCCTAGCTAAAGAAAAAATAAAATATGCTCTCTAAATACATGACGTCTAAAACAGCTAGGTACTTATTTCAGTTCCACCTTTTAACTTTTTGAATAAAGAGAAGTACTGATGAAGAAATAAGAATTTCACACAGTCTTAAAACCTCCCAGACTGTGTCTATAAATATGATACTGTGTCAACCAGCAGCTCAGAGTCTACGTAACAAGCCATCCCTGGAACATCGTGGATGCCTGTGTCGGGTACCGGCATCGGGGGGCAGGGGGACACACCAGCAGGGATCCTCAGGCACAGGGACCTCTCCTACTCCCTGTGAGCCCCGGGTGTGAGCCCAGTGTGGCTCCTTCTTCCTCTCCTGATGGATATGTGACCTGCACTGGATGAGCCATTCAATCTCCACAGGTCTTCACCGTGCTAAAGCAGAATCCTGGCTGTGCAGCAGGAAGGGTGTTTGGGTCCAGATTCCACGATTACAGTCCCGGCTGCCTGGGTCCCTGGGCTCTGAGCACGGTGCTGCCACTGGGGGCGGGCACAATGACAGATTCTGCATATTTAGTACAGTAGGAGGAGAAAGGAACCCGAGAGAGCCAACTGCTCGAAGGCAGATGTGCAGCAGACAGCTCCAGCTTTATTGCAGGGAGTCGCCTCGCAGGAAGTAATCAAGCAGTCTTACCACCCAGCACCCATGGGAGACAGGGAGGTCTGAGTATGACTTAGGACAGATCTACTCCCCTCACAGGAAATAAAACTCATTGGCCCGACATGCCCTCTCGGTAACTGATCCCGGTGCCCAGCAGTCTGAAGCCACCCTAGGGGACCCAGGACCTGTCAGAGTCGCAGGTGTCCCTCACCTGGGTCCCTCCCATCCACCCCTCCTTGAGAGCCCAGTGAGCTCCTCGGAAAGAAAGTCACGCACTTCCCAAAACTTGGCTCCAAAAGGTGCCTCACTCTTTAAAATCCTCAACTTATCCATAAAGTAGTCATTTTTTCCTACTTGACAGAGACACGCATAGCGCTTTCTGTGCAGTGTGTGCTTCCCAAACTGAAGTAGAGTTGAAAGAATAAAGCAGAGGTACAATGTTTCAGATTGTTAACTTTGAAATCACGAAATTGCAGAATACCATAGTTAGTTTTAATGTTTTAAAATATTATTTCCTTCAGGAACATAGAAAGACAGAGATATTACACTTAAGTAAGCCTAGAGCTCACCAAACCTCTGTCTGCCAAGCCAGCAAAGAGCACAGATTCTAGCATTTCCCAGCCTTTGGCTCCCATGCAGTTACCATTCCTAATCTTTTCTTGTTACTGAAGTCTAAATAGACATGCACATTTAATATTTTGGGACAATTCACAAATCTATGCTTTCCACTGTTTAGTGCATTACTGTTAAATGGTTTCTTCATTCAAACCAGCTTTTTGAGATCAGGATTATTTTAAAAAACCTAGCTGATGATCATATTTTTCTACATGGTAGGACAGATTAAAGTTGTTATTTCTGATTTTGAAACCTACAAAAAAATTGATTCATTGAAGTTCTGTTGGCAAAGAACATGAGGAGAAATCAACCTGGCTATGTCAAGTGTCTTTTCTTTCTTTTTTTGGTACTGAGAATTGAACTCAGGACCTCGCCCTTGCCAGGCAGGTGCTGTGCAATGAGCTGTATTCCCAGCTCTCAAGTGGTTTTTTGATTAGAGATTTTTTTTAAAGATTCATAGTTGGATTCAAAAGTGAAACACTATCTACCAAACCATTCAGATGTTTTCATGTTCTGTTTAGACAAAGAATATTAATGCATGGTTATTTGTTTATTTACTCATTAACTACTTCTTGACCACAGCCTTGAGACAGAAAGCAGACCAATAACCAACCTTGAGAGGCAAACTAAAGAACTAGCTGAAATCTTTACCTGTCCCGAAATTATACAAGATCTAGCCTCCATATTAACTCTGAATAGCATTTGGCTCATTAAAAAGTTTGTAGTAATGTAGACTTTTCTCAGTGTAATACAACTGATGTTTTCTTATTTCGGATCTATTTCAAGAAAGAGGAATTAGAAAGTGCATGCGTTGTTTCAAATTTTGGGAAAAGAGCCATTAAAACACTGGGATTGTTAGCACCAGGTTGTCAAAACCTCTGCATTTCGATGCTGCACAGAAGTTTCTGCTACTGTAGGGAGGTATAACCCAGTAAAAAGTGAAGGTCCATTCTTCATTTTAACTTAATTTTCAGAAAGTTTCTAAAGCTGGACCATCTCTACACTATACTTATACATTAGGTTTGGAATATGATCAGGGACCAGACTTTTTCTTATGATAATGCCAAGCATCTAGATTCATTTAAGTTAGTCATCTAACTTCTCACTAATTTCAACATTAGATGGAATCCTATTTTGCAGAGATGAGATAGACTTAGGTTCATTCCATTATGTGTTCCCTGGATTTTCTTTTTATATTTCTTCTAAAATATTTGTTTGCATTTAAAATAGTGAAGATTTACACAGGCCTTCTAAATTAGATTTCTTTTCAAGGAGATAGGGAAGATGCCAAAAAAAAAAAATCTTCCCTTATATTACTTTCTGGCTTCCTTTCTTTTTTCTAATTATGCTGCTTTACATTCTATGTATATTTCTCAAAAGGAGAATAAAATTAGAAATTAGATCAGATAAAAACTATAGTTGATGAAAGAAAAGCTAGAAAAGTTTTGCAATGTAAATAATAAGGTATTATTTCCATAATATAGTTATTCTCCTGCATTTATTAGTTTGTTCATGGATAGCATTGCTCTAATTGAGTAAAGATAAAGTGATTAAATTAATGTTTATTAAAGTTTGTCTTTGAAAATAGTATATGGAGATGTTTTTGGTTGATGAAATTCATGTTTCCCATTCAATATAATACTATATAATGTTAACAGTGTACCTGGCTGGGTTATAAAATGCCAGCCAAAAAGCATAGCACCTTTCCTTGTTCAGAAGCAGTTGATTATGCAATTTAATCTCCTTATATATGTCCATAATTTTATATGCTAGTTATATTACCTTTATATTTTTAAAATTATTCTTTTTAAAAAGTATTTCCTTTTATATTAAATACACCATCTGGGATTTTTCTACATACACTGAAGAAATAATGAACAAATGTTGTAACTATTCTCTTTCTGTGAATCTAGTTCTATGTGTAACTAGTAGTTGGTTCAGCGGTGGCTAAATAACCCTTTGCTAAATACCTGTTCCCAGCATGGAAACAACAAATGGAGGGAGGGAGAATTTAATCCCTTGAAAGACTTGATCCTACTTCCCCTATAGGTGAATACCCTGTTCTCAGAGGTTTCCTAAAAAGTATCTACATTTTTCCAATTGTCTTGGTTATGTAAATCAAAAGTCCCCCAGATTAAGACTCATTGTGTTCTTACGTATTTCCTTAAGGAAAGTGTTGCGATCTCAGGATTTTGGTTAACTCTTCCTTCAGTGGTGTAAACCCATTCAATGATCTAAGAGACTTCTAGCAGAGCAGGGATGTACTCATGGAGGAGAGGGATTCTAAGTAGCTCTGTAGTTTAGAACACATCTAGATTTAGCAGAGAACAGAGAGGAATTCATTTGCAGGGACTATGTAAGCTCAAAAAAAAAAAAAAAAAAAAAAAAAAAAAGCTTGCAGAAGCCCAGAAGGAAAAAGAGGAGAGGCTGTGAGGAACTGCATCACCAGAGGAAGAAGGGCAGGTCCCAGGGCTGCTCCTAGCCTCATCTTAGAAGGCACTGCCAGCCCCATGGCCTGCAGGTGGTAAAGACTCACATCACTGCAGAAGTCATGGGGAGTCACAACTAGACTGAGATGACCAAATCTCACACACCTTGGCAGAAGACAGAAATCAACAGCTTCAAAAACCTGCTAGAAAACCTTCTCTTCCACAAAATATAAGGCAGCACTGTTTTACTCTTCCTTCTTTTTGCATCGAAATTTCCTTTCAAATCTAGAACCCTGCCGACATTAGTCCTGTACTCTACTACCTAATTTGAAGCAAATCTTGTGTTTCGATTGAGAATATGGGCATACGGATCCATAATTCAAAAAGAAAACTTACAAAATTTCTGAAATAAGTCTGAGTCATGAACTATGAAATGCCTAAGGGAAACAAGTATCTTTAATTTTAAAATCTCAAGAGATGTTGGTACATCCCCACACAGAAAAGCACAGAATTATCATTTCTGGAACTTACCTCTCTGTTTGGCATCTTCCCTTCTGAGGAGAAAAAGAACTGGTGATTGGTTATTAATATGGAAAATAATTAAGTAGTTTCTTTTATTCTTCTAGTTTTAGCTACCAAAGTTTCCCAAAATTCTTTTCTCAGTGAAATACCCAAACTGTTATTTGTTTGACAATTTCACAGTTGTAATACCAGACACAAAATCATGATAATAGTGTAATTTGGTACTATTTGACTCAGTCTGAGTAATTAAATGGTTTTTCCCTGGTGGTAATTGGGTCTTGCTTTAATGGCCAATAAACAAGTAAAGTTACTTAGTGCTGAGGAACTGGTTAAGGAGGGCAAGAGGAAGGCGGCTTGAGAAGCCGAGAGTTCTTAGCAAAGATGTGCTTCTAAGCATCCATTAAGAAAGCTTGTAATTATGCATGTGGAGACCAGGCAAGCCTCTTAGTGACTGTAGTGTTGACTCTTCCCACACCATGCAGCAAAGCCCAGCAACCCACGGCCTGCAGATAGCTCGGCGTCCACCGGCTCCTCCGGCAGCAGCTTTGGCAGCGGCTACAGCGTGGACAGCGAAGGCAGCGGCCCCACCGGGGACACCAGTCTGTTCCCGATGCCACGAATGTAAGTGGGTCTTTGTTATTGCAAGGTTAACAGCATGATGAGTAAGATACTCCTAACCCTTCACAGGAAATAAGTAGATAATTACACAGTTCTGAATCACTAGGTCTGTTTATGCCTACATAGAAATACATTACTCAGGAAAGATTAGGGGTGAATCCAGTGAAGTCTAAGGATGAGGGCTCATCACTACCAGCAGTTTCATTAGTACAACCTGTATTTAATGTGAAAACTGCTAATCACTTATCCCTGCCAGACTAGAGCTCAGCAGCAGTGTGTTGGTGTTTTGGTCACACAATGAGCGAACCCGAACACATTGGTTTGGGAGATAAAGATAGATTCATTTACCGGAATCAGGAGAAACTGAAAGGCACCCCAAGAGCCCATGTCATCCTCAGAACAGATGTTACCCTGTGCTTGTCATGGAGAGTTTTCAACTATAAATTGCCCTGCAATAAAAATGGAAGATTTCAAAGTATTTTCATATGTTCTAGAACAAATAGCACCTAGTACTAAGTAGTGTCTAGGACCCTGGGTGGGTACTCCTGAAATAAAACCCATGCATGATATGTTAGAACTCAAGAATATCATTTTGCAAATAAAATCTAAACTAAAACATTGTGTTTAGGATATGTTAGAATAGGTTGTGTCATGCTGGTGGCAAAATGGAGCAGCATTCAAGATAAATATGCAGATTATGTCTGCTCCAATATCACAACATGAACTTCCAGATCTTTCCTTTTCCTGCCAATTAAGCGAGTCTTGTAAATTGGAAACATCACCAGGATATCCATGTCCTAGGATCTAGACTAGGGCAAACACAGCCTGCCACCTGGCTTTGTAAGGCTTGTGAGCTAAAAAGAGCTTTTTGATGTTAAAATATTTTTTACACGTGAAAAAAACAAAAGAATATTTTGTGACGAGCAGACAACATGACCTCTACATTCCATGCAAATGGAGTTGTGAAGGTGCACAGCGGTGCCCCCTGGTTTGTGTGGAGCCAGTGTGAAGAGGGCAGGGCTGAGCACTGTCACTGAGGCTGTGGAGCCACAGCCACCTACGGCACCCCAGCTGGCCACCCCGGCCAGGGTATGACAGGGGTCCTTCTTGTGCTCCAGTGCTGAGTGAAATCTGCTCTTGGAGTAGAAATTCTCTTTGTTTTAATGAAGGTTTCATAAATTAACATAAACATTATTAAAGTTTTTATACATATATCCTTTTGAATAACTGGGATAACTGTACTGCTGATGTCTAATGGTATATTGAAAGGAACAATTAATACCTAATTTTTTTTCTTTTTGACCAATTTTGCGTGCTTACATCTGGTAATCAGAACAACGAATTTGAAGACAACAATAGGCAATACAACAGCCACTGGGAAATTTCTATCAACTTGTCTAGTGAAGCTCTGTATTTTTTTTTTTTTTTATTCTCTTTAATGTTTGATCAGTCTTGCATTCTCACATCTGTTAATCTGAGCAACTTTGTTGAAGATACCAGTATGTAATATAACAACCACTCCTAATTCCTATCATTTTATTCTGAAACCCTGTATCATTTTTATTGTTTTTGCTTTGTTTTGTCTTTTTCTATTTTGCTATTGTTCTCTTTTATTATTCTCTTTGAAATAATGTATATCGTTTTGACCACCAAAATACTATCAACGGTTAATGATTTGGTTTATAAAAGAAAAAGAGAAAATCTGTTTTTATAGTGTATATGCTGCAATACTTGTGACATTTTTCCAACTTAAATTAAGCAAATTATTATTTTATGAGCTTCATGTCTGAGGCCTTTTTGTATTTGTTCTTTTTTTCTGAGACTTGGCCTATGGACTTCAGTAGAATTTTTGTACCTATCTACATTATTGGATATAATCCTAAAACTAACCAGGTCTCATTACTCCTTGGCCTTTGATGATCCAGTGTGAGAAGAATTTCAACAAATTTATTCCACATCTCTCTAACTTGTGAATATCACATGAATTTATAAAGCCTTTGCACAGCAGATAAATTCATGTCCTCCAGTTTATCTGTACCTTTCAGAATACAGAATTCAACACTGATAACAAAGTTATAACTTTCATAGATTTAATTATGTTATTTCCCCAATATCTGAACATTTAAAATGAAATTATATGGTTTTTACCTACTTACCATAGGGCATTTTGGTTTTTTCCCTTCTCCTATTTCTCTTTTAAATCAAAGCCTCACTAAATTGGCTACAAGCTTATTCTCTTGTCATATAAGCAAAAAGAAAATTTACTTTCTTAAAATGTTGTATGACACATGTAAGAAACAGTATTAATTTTTTATATAAATTAGCTGAAACTAGCTGAAAACAGGAAGAATTTCAAAACTATCACTAAGTAAAGCTAAAAGTCTATGTTATTACAATATTTTAGGTAAATGAATAGTTTTCATTTTTAATTAACATGTAAAGTCATGCATAGATATGGGCTACCAGGTGACGATTTGATGCCTGTATGCATTGTCTGGTGTTCAAGTCTAGAAAAGCGTATGTGGTGAGCAAAGCTCAGACACTTTTCATTCTTTGGTGAAAGAACATTCAAATACTTTTTTCCTTAACTGTTTGGACAGCACAGTACCCTATCTTTACCAATAGTCACCCTACTGCACCTTAACATGTGCCCACTTACTTCTATCTAACAGTAACCAGTGCTCCCTGGCCAGCCACCCCACCTCTGTCCCCCTCTGTCCCCCACTTTTGGGCCCTGGTCCACATCACTCCACTCTCTCTCTGCAAGTTCATCATGTTTGATCCACAGTGAAGCCTGCAGTATGGCTGCCCTACCTGTGTTTATGAATCCCATTAATGTCATAAATGACAGGGTTTCACCCATTTCATGCCTGAACAATTGTCTTAGTTACTTATCTCTTGTTGCTGGGACAAAATACCCGACACCCAAAATTAAGGAAGGAAAGGTTTATTTAGCTCACAGTTTGTGGAGGTTTCAGTCTGTAATCAGCTGGCTCCAAGGCAGGGTGGCATGACACTGGGGCAACAACTCAAGGTCACAGAAGACAGCAAAAGCAGCAAGAACGAAAGTGGAGACAGCAAGCCTCTTTGCCTCCCTTAAACTGTAAGCAGGCCACGCCCTCCCAGGGCAGGTGTAGCACTCACCCCATCTCAGTGCCCTCTTGCGCAGGATGAGGATGTTTACAGGGTGAGGACCCTGGCCCCCTGCTGAGTTGCTCAGTGAACCTTCCAAACTTCTCAAGGAGACACAGTGTATCACCACTACAGCAATATCCCATTGTGCGTGTGCCCCACATCTCCTTTACCCACCCATCAGCTGGTGGACACTGAAGCTTGATGCTGCCATTTCTTGGCTATTATGAATAGCGCCACAGTGAAGGTGGGCATGCAATGTTCACAGACAGACTCCCAGAGCCTGTAGCGGGATTACTGGATCACACGGTAGATCTGCTGTCAGTTGTTCCGCAACCTCCGTACTGTTCCCCACGATGGCCCGTGGGGATGGCTACCCCCGCCAAGTGATAGGGCTCTCTCTTCTCCTTGTGCTCTGATGCTTGTCATGCCGCCCTTACTGGAGGGAGGGACACTTCATGGTGGCTTTAATTTGCATTTCCCCAATCACTGCAAGTGTTGACATTTTTCCACATATCTGCTGATTATTTGTATCTCTTCTTTCAAGAAATATCTTTTGGGGTTTCAATATTATTTTCATGTTATTAATTCAGTATTTCCCTTCTAACAAAAGAATCTCTAGAAGCTCATTTATAGTATATATGCTACCAAAGCAAGCACTAAAATCTCATTTTTAAGCATTATAAAGATATAAAAATTCTTTCTTGATTAAAAGTGGAGAAAACATTAATAATTTTTGAAGGGGCTGATAGATTTGATCCAGTGTGGACATTGCACTCTGTGTACATGTACCAATGGGCCCATTAATGTGAGCATTTACATTTGTATGTGCCAGCTAAAGAAATTTTAATGGAAAAAAATTGTTTCACAGGTTTGAAAATTTCATGATAGTGTGATTGTTTGATAAATGATTCTACAAATAAAACTTAGGAATTTTGAGACATTGTTTGGACCAAGTTAGAATAATAAATAAGCTCCCATCTTAAAACTCACATGACAGCGCGCATATTTGTCATTCAAATAATCCATTGCAGGTCTGAATATCTAATGCCCTTTTATCTTTACAAAGCTAATCTCCTTATTTGCATCCCAGGGGATGATGAGTATACATATAATTCTTTTTCTAAACAGAGGGAAGATGGGGCAGAACGGACAGGAGCCTGTAAAGCAGCCCTCAGGAGGAGGACTGGCAGACTCGGAAGGTGAGTTCGTGCTTACGGTCCTGGAGTAGGGTTAAATTGTCATCCTACATCATCAGTTCTTTGTCTTAAAATATGTAAATGCTAATGGCAAAAACAATATTTTCCTTAACATATCATGCAAACAGAAAATCAATCTTAAGATTTATTCCTGTTCTGTAGGTTGTCTTTTCACTCTACTGGCAATTTCTTTTGCTATGTAAAAGCTTTTTAATAAGATGAAATCCCACTTATTGATTCTTTGGAATATTCCTAGCTATTCTTTGGAATAGCACCCTAATAAGATGAAATCCCACTTATTGATTCTTTGCAATAGAGTTCTACCTATTCTCTTTTCCAGCAGATTTAGTGTTTTGGTTTTAATATTTAGATCTTTGATCTGTTTTGATTTTAGTTTAGTGCAAAGTGAGAAACAAGGGAAGAAATCTTTGCAATTGTTCTTCTGACAAAGGACTGCTATCTAGAATATATAGAATCAGAACCCCCAAATGTAAAGACCCAATCCAAGAATGGGCATGTGAGATGAATATACAGATCTCAGATGAAGAAGTAGAAACAGCAAATAAATATAGGAAAAAATGTTCACTATCACTGGTCATTCCAGAGATGCAAATGAAAATGCTGAGATCCCGTCTCACTCCAGAAAAAAATGGCTGTTATCAAGAAATCAACCAATAACAAATGCTAGCAGGGCAATGGGGAAAAAGGAGCCCTTGTCCACTGTTGGTGATAGTGTAGACTGGTGCAACCACTGTGGAAATCAGTGTGGAGAGTCCTCAAAAAATTAAAACTAGAGATTCCATTTGACCCAGGTATTCCCCTTCTTGCTATCTTCCCCCAGAAATTAAAAGCATAGTGATATGTGCACACCCATGTTTGTAGCAACACAGTTTATAACAGCTAAAAGTTGGAAATAGCCCAAATGCCCATCAACCAATGAATAAATAAATAAGATGTGCTTATTTAATACAGTAGAGTACTACTCCATTCCTAGGCAAATGGGTGCACCTCAAGGTGCACTCCTAAGTGAAATAAATCAAAGACACGTGTGTAAATATTGCATTATTTCTCTACTGTGAGAAACCAGAAGGGAAATAAGGACCAAAATGTATACTACATATTATGAAATAGGAAGAAAATGTTCAGTTAGGAAGGGGAACTACGGAGGGAGAGGGCAAAAGGAAGGAAGAGAAATCAAAATGAGAGAAGCAGGAACAATGCAAACAAAGGATTTTTAAATAAGGAGGGGAAAAGGGGCTGAAGGTAGGGAAAGGGAATGGGAAAAAAGTAAGAATTTAAATGTATTACGTTCGGGTACTGATTCCCTATGATGAATGTGGTCCTTATGTATATCTAAAATGTACCAATAAATTAGAGACTTTCAAAATTCAATTTTAAAACAGCACTTAAACTATGAAAATGCTTAAATATATGAATCTGAGAACAAATAAATGGTGTACACATCGTCCACTAAAAATTAATTACTGGACCAAATTCTAAAGTAAAAGTCATGTTTGAAATTCAATAATTTGGGTTTTATTAAACAAATAATAAACTATTTCAAAAAATGCAAAATCAATGTTTAATTTCAGCAAACACATGAGAACATGTACGAGCCCAGTTTGTCTTTCACTACTGTGATAAAATCTGACAGATCTGTTATCTTCATGGACTGCAATGATCCCTCGGTAATTCTAACTTCATTTCATGTGCTACCTCAGTTGAGTCTTAGAATTACCTAGTAGGTAAATAATAGCATATAGTGCGTCGATATAAATGGGAACCAAAGCGCAAAGAGCACATAAGGTCTGGACAAGTGTTTTGAGCTTTTGAGCCCAGGAAAATGGTACTGAACACCATGTGTGAGGGAGAATGGTCCCGGGCATGCTTCCCAAGGTCATAAGCAGGCAGAGAGGAGACCTGGGTGTCGATTCTGGTCTATGAGTATGTAAGTTGCTTGCTGGCTTCAGAAACCTTATCTGATAGACGCTAGTTCTAAATAGCACCTTGTTCCCTGGACTTCAGTGGATGCCACATTTTTCTGGTTCTCAATTTTTCCTTTCCATGGATTTATTTTTTTCTTTTTGGACTCATGCCTATTGCCACATTCCCCAGCGTTCCATCCCGAGTTCATGAATCCTTTTACTCACCTGTCTCTGTATAAACTCACCAATTTGCCTGGCTGTAGATCAGCGTCCAGTCTGCTGCCCAGACTCCCTAGGGTCCACAGTCAGCTGGCTAATTGTCTGGAATTCACATTCAGCCAGGCGTTTGTGCCCTCCAGCTGTGTAAGTTAGAAGAATGGATGGTTGGGACTTGGGTACGTACTCTCAGAAGAGTCTGAGAGACTGAGTAGGGATAGCAAAGCGGCAGAAGGAAGCCACTGTCCCATGGGCAAGAAGACAGTGAGAGGACAGGAGCCAAGGAGAGACACAGCAGAGGCCAGAAGTCCGTCCAGGGGCCCCTCAGGATGGGGAGAGATGCTCCTGTCCTCGCTCCCTCCCATTCTGCAGTCTGCATGGTGCCTGACCAAAGCCAACAGGAAGCCAGTGAACAGGGGAGCTGGGACACAGGTGGGAGCTCCTCCAAGAAGAGAGCAAGAGAAGGAGCAAGAGGTCTGTGTGTGAGTGCATAACACAGGGTTCCACCCGGAGAGCCCATCATGTCCCAGACTCCACAGGCCGGCGCTTAATCCACCCTCCTCTCGGGTTTGCATACTTTCTTGCTGTGCTCCCAGCACTGGCACCTGCTTTTGCTAACACTTTCATAGTCTATTACCATTCTTTGATTTAAGATACCTATTTTACGCGCACTTCCTCCATAAGATTGAAACACTCTCAATCCATCTGTATGCTTTATCCTGATTTCCCAGCTCTTAGCAGAGAGCCTGGCCAGTAGAGTTACTGAAGGAATTGTGCTGCATGAGGAAGAACTACTAAGATTGTACACAGAAGTAATAGCGACTAATTCAGATGTGACTGTAGAATTCAGGTGCAGGGAAGAAGTCCATATGTAGCTGGAGCTACTTAATTTCACCTTTTTTTAAGCTTAACATTTTCAAATAAAAGTTAAACGTTAACAGCTGCCAGTGGCTGGAACTGTTCAACCAGGTTCTGCTTCCTTCTTTCCTCTTAATCCCACACAAAGAAATGCATGTTTTCCAAGAAAGAGCCAATCACAAGATACTTTGTTTTTGTTTAAGTCTTGTGAGTCAGTATGCTTGTACTTGAGTGGACTGACCCTGACCCACAACTGATCTAGACTAGTTCCCCCCAAGGAGGGGAACAGAATGGAATAGGAAATGAAACGTGATTCATTTTTAGTCATGTGGCCTTTTCACAGCAGTATTTTGGACAAATAGGGTTTTCTTTATTTTAAAGAGAAAAAACAATAAAAACAATGACAGAAAATTTCAAAAGAAGATAATAGGAGATTAACAATGATTAGTATAATGTGTACTGATATCTTCAAAGTAGTTGCTCAGATTACAAAATATAGGCATGAAAAATTGGTGAAGCAATATAAGCACAAATTGTTCTTTTTAATAAACTAACAGGAATTAGCAGTATAAGAATCTTAGCTATCTTGTGTGTGTGTGTATATACATATTTTTTTTTTCTTCTCCCTTCCTTCTTTTGTCCTTTCCCCATCTCAACCGTTCTTTCATTCTGAGCACTTTCCTTCCCTCTCACAATATCTGTTGTACATTTTGGATCTTATTTACTCTCAGTTTCTTATACTAGGGAGACAATATGATGTTTACACTTGTGAGTCTGATTTATTTCACTTATGAGTATGGTCTCTAATGCATCATTTATCTATAGAGTTGAATAATACTCCACTTATAAAAATAACACATCTTTTTTACCCATTCCTCAGTTGATGGATATTTGGGTTGTTTCTAAGATTTAGCTATGACAAATTGTGCCGCTATAAACATGGGTGAATATATATCTCTGTGGTATGATGTTTTTAGTTCCTTTGGGAAAATAATCAGAAGGGGAACAGCTTGGTCAAGTGGGACTGATAATCCTGGTTTTCTGAGGAACCACACTGATTTCCACAGTGGTTATACCAGTCCACACTCCCACCACAGTGGAAAAGGGCTTCTTTATCCCCACAGCCCAGCCCAATGTTGGTTATTGGTTGATTTTTTGATGATAACCATCTTTCTGGAGGTGAGATGGAATCTCAGTGCTGTTTTAATTTGCGTTTCTCAAATGACCAATAATGTTGAACATTTTTTTGTACGTTTATTTGCCATTTGTATGTCTTGACCTGCAAAGTGTGTATCCATCTCAGATGCCCTTTTTTGGATTGGGTCTCTGAATTTGGGGGGGGGTCTGTTTTTCAATTCTTTATATATTCTAGATAGAAGTTCTCTGTCTGAAGAACAGTTGGATAAAATTTTTCCCACTCTGTGGGTTGTCTTTTCACTCTGTTGGTGATTTATTTTGCTGTACAAAACCTTTTTAATGAGATGAGATCCCAGTTGTTGGTTCTTTGAAGTACTTCCCATGCGGTTTGGGTTTTGTTCATGAACTCTGCCTACCTCTATGTCTCCAAGATTTCTACCTACTTTCTCTTCCAGTGGATTCAGTGTTTCTGTTTTAATATTTAGATCTTTGATCCATTTTGACTTTAGTTTAGTGTATGGTGATAGATATGGGTTTAGTTTTAGTCTTCAGCATGTGGAAAGCCATTTTTTCTAGCACTATTTATTAAAAAGATTATGTTTCTTCCAGTGAACATGTTTTGGCCCCTTTGTCATACATAAGGTGGCTGTGTGTGTTTGTCGTTGTGTCTGCATTTTCTAATCTGTTCCACTGTTCCTTGGGGCTGTTTTTTTGCCAGTACCATGCTGATTTTATCACAGTAGTTTTGTAGTATAATTTCAGTCAGGAATTGTGATGCCTCTTATACTGCTTTCATTGCCCTGGATTACCTTTGCTATTCTATGTCTCTTCTGTTCCCAAATGAATTTTAGGGTTGTTTTCTATAGA